CCAGAGACTCCCCAGTAGGGGTGCTAGCTCCCCAGAAAACCAGAAGGAAAGCAATTGGAGGAAGAGCTCAAAGATGGGTCGCCTCTGTCCAGGGAAGAGAAGGGTTTAGCAGGAGAAGGGACAATGAGAACGCTCCCTTATACCTCAGCTTTAGGAACTTTCCACTCTTCTGCCCTCCCTGTCCTCTGTTCTAATCCGACATCAGACAGAGAGCATAAGTGCGTGAAAACCTGTATGTCCTAAAAGCCCTTGGGAAAAAAGAAGTAGGGTATCTTGCTCTTGCCCAAATGGATAGTGCAGTAGGGTATCTAAGTGTATCTTTCTCCATATACTAATACTGAACACACAAAGTTGATCATGTGTCAGGCACAGCTCTAAGAGCTGCACATATATTAACTCTCTATTTAATCCTTACAACAACCCTATCAAGGTGTTATCCAGACACTCTCCATTTTACAAGAGGAAGAACAGGCCTCGAGGGGTTAAATTAACCAGCCCAAGTGCACACAGCTGGTTCCATGATGAGCCAGGATTCAAACCCAGGGAGCCTGGTTCTATACCTCACCACGAAGCCTCTCCCAGTGGCTGCTGGACTGTCCCTCAGTGGGTGTCAATGGCTCCTCTTCTTTGCTCCCAGCTATGGAAGCTCCGGAGCTCATGTTCACCCAGCACACACACCTGCCTCACTCAGACACCTGGCAGGGGCCTGGCCTCCATGGAAACCCCACCAACAGCGGGGTGAGACTCTCCTGGGGACAACTGAGCAGATTTCTCTCCCCCTGGCTTTCTGGAATGCTTATATTGCTCACATTCTCCTGGTTGAAGACAGAGAAACAGTAACCCAGGTAGCCCACCCTTCAGCCAGGGGTAATGAAGATCCTCTCATTACCGAGGATCTGCAGAGCTCACCTTAAATTCATCTTTTGTGAAAGGCCACTCCCACCATGACTGTCCCAGGGCTTGGCATGCTGAGCGCTAACAGCTATGGTGCTCACTGCAGCTGCTAACTGGTGGTATGACCACTGTAAAACTGAAGGGGGTAGGGGGGGATACGGACCATGATCTTCTAACACAGTTTTTCACTCAACCTGTACAGATTTTGGACCAGAAAAGTCTTTGTTGTGGAGGGGCTGTCCTATGCATTGTAGGATGTTTAGCTGCACCTCTTGCTTCTACTTATTAGACGTAATAACACATTGCCACCCACCTTCCTTGAAACAACCAAAAATGTTTTCAAACATTATGAATATTTGAAAACTACTGCTCTAAAGGAAGAGTAACAACAACAAAAAAACAGGTTTTGCCCCTGTAAATTTGGGTGGAGTGGAATTCTTGCTCTAAGATAGGCTAGGACAGCCCCTCACATGAGATTATCCATCCCAAAATGTCAACGGCGCTGAGGTGGGGAGACCTGCTTTAGAAGTTGGCAAAAACAGCCAGTCAAGTGCAAGGAAGCATGCCCCGTGATCCACGGAGTGTGATATTAAGATGCAGCCACATGAACTCTGGGATTTGATTTGCCCCCCGTCTGGCACCCCCCACCCCACCCCTACCGCTCGCCCACTGCTTTGGAAAGGCAAAGACAGACACACACAGTGTTGGAAAACAAACCAAACTTGCTGACTTCAAAACCCAACAATGATAATGAGAAACCCGTTATCAAGAGTTGTCTTATAAACCAGAAGTATCTGAACAAAGGCAGCCAGTTTTCTGCGGTTCTTGAGTTCTTTTAGTGCCTCAGATCTCCTTACTCTGACTGCCAGATTTTTTCGAGAAAACTGTCACGGTTTGAGTTGTTTTGATTCCCCCTGGAAAAGGGCCCCTCACTGCCCTCTAACTCCTTGGGGTGCTGAAAACGTTTAACTTTGAACGTAAAAATGTTTTGTTTTGTTTTTAAATGTTGGCTTTGTCTGAGGAGGCTCTGAGGGAATTTTAATTCATTCAGGGATAAAGAAAAAAGTGCTTCCTAGAGTTCTCTGAAATAGAAGTTTGATAATACAAAACAAATGAATGGTTAGCAAAAGCTAAAAAATATTCCTGCTACCATCAGTTATCTTCTGAGCATGGAAGGGACAGTATTAGGATACTAAGTATTCGGTTACAAGTTGAAAGAATAAGCGACAAACTGTACCTCATTTAACCACATAATACATCATTTAACTTAAAGTCATAGAGCCTATTATTTTTTTAAATATATTTATTGATTTCAGAGAGGAAGGGAGAGAGAGAGATAGAAACAGAGAGAGAGAGAGAAGAGAGAGAGAGAGAAACATCAATGATGAGAGAGAATCATTGATAGGCTGCCTCCTGCATGCCTCAGACTGGGGATCGAGTCCACAACCCAGACATACGCCCTGACTGGGAATCGAACCATGACCTCCTGATTCATAAGTCAACACTCAACCACTGAGCCATGCCTATTATAGTAAGTGAGGCATGTAGGAGGCAGCCGATAACTTTATCTACTTCATGGAGTTGTTAATGAATTAACATATGTGAAGAGCTTAAAACAGCACATGCTATCTGTGTTTCTCTTGATTTTCAAAGTGTCAATCGGCAAAAATGAACAAATAGTCCTTACTCCCCTTTTAATGGCACAAAACACTAGGTTTGTCCATCAAGAGACAAGTGACTCTGACAGGGCTAGTTCTGGGCAGGTGAATCTAAGCTCTCCATGCCTCAGACCACAACCCAGAAAATGTGAGATGATAGAGATTTTTGCAGAATCCAAATCAAGGCCTTTTCAAAAAACTCTAAAATTAAAATCATGTCTTATCTCCCTATTCTTCCTTCTGGCGGCAACATGAAAAGATACTTCCAAAATATTCTCTCTGATTCTCTTCCTTCCTATGTAATTGCAGCTGGAATCAAAGAGCTATGCTCACCTAAGTCAGGAGGCCAAGTCTTAGGTTCTGACACCTGATGAGTTAAAGGCTTGACTCAACTCTGCCCCCCTTGGTAATTTAGAGGAAATACACCCAGACACTTGACAGGCAGGAGAAAGCTAGCTGCAAGGGTAGAGAAGAGAAGCCTAGAAGAAGGACATTTTCTCATTGCTGTGCTTAGTCATCACAACGCCATTAAGTGGGAAAGGCCGCTGTTGTCATCCTCATTTTACAAAAATAAGTCGACAGTCCAAAGAGGCAAAGTGGTGTGCTCAGGCGTCCTGGGGTTTTAAAAAACCACAAAACAGAGATTAGAACTCATTCCCAGATACCCTGGCTAATTCTCTTTCCAAAGAGATGGCCCCCTCTTCCAGACCGGGGAGTGGTACAACGCCACAGTTCCCTAACTTCCTCCCTCTGGGTTGGGAAAAAGTGAATTTGTAAAAGAATTCAAACGTCCTGGGGTGATCGACATTTGCCCAACAAAGAAGACCCCCAGCTTGGATGAAAGATACAACAGCTTAGTATTTTAGGACTTGCCAAGGGATGACAGTCTTCCAAGTGTTAACTCACTCCTTGGGCAGAGAAGCCCAATGTAGTTGCCAAGATCCTGCCCGCTCACAGACATGTTCTTAACTAAACTGAACTAAAGGGCAGAGCAGGGCCACATCCCAGGAATGAGTTAGAGAGTGACAGCGGTAGATACGACGAGTAAAACTCAACTCAAACAGCCAACCTCTGCTCCCTACTCCAGGCTGAGGCTGGGAAATACCATGCTTTCCTTGGGTGATCATCTGCCACGGCTCTAAAAACACCCAAACGGTAACCCCGCCCCCCCATCTATCCTTTACTCTCAGGACCCCCAACATGGGAGTATGAGCAGGTTGCCCCACCAAATGATAACTCCAAGAGGTTTTTCCAAAAATACGTTCCCACTAAAACACAAAAATTTCAAGGAGGTAATTGAGCAATGCTCTGTCATTGCCTCACAGCACTGGACACCCCACCCCCACCCCTCAACCCCTCCCCAACCCATCCCCTCTTCTCCAATCTAGCTGAAGCCCAAGGCCAGGAGAGCCGATCCTGAAATCCAGAGCATTTGAGAAACTATTCAACCCAGAGTGAGAGCGGCTCGGGCCCAGCCCAGCCCCACCCCCAACCCAGACCCGGAGGCACGCGGAGCTAGGCTCCCGGCCCGGGCAGAGGCTCTTTCTTATGTAAATGACCGCGCCGTCGATAGGACTCTGGTGGGGGCAGCGGGAGGAGGGGGCTGCTGAGAGCGAAGTGGGCAGACAGGTCAGGGCCAAGGTCAGGAAAAAGCTGGTTTTCGGAACCACAAACATCTCAGGGAGAAGGGCGCGGGGTCTGTCGGTCCTCACTGAGTAACTTACAGAAGTACCAAAAGTAACATCCCAAGTCCGCCCCCCATTTGGAGGCGGGCCCTGGGGGCCCAAGGCGGGGCGGTTCCGAGGCAGCTTGGGGGAGGTGATGTACGCCCCACGCGGAGCCTCAGTTCCGGGCACCTCAGTTCCGGGGAGGGGGCGCGGCGGGCGGAGTTCCCCTGTCTCTTTCCCATCTCTCTCCCGGGTCAGTCTCTCCCCAAAGCCCACCTCTGCAGGGCCTTGTGGAAGTCCTAAGGAAACCCCACTTTCCCAAAACGCGCGGGAGCGTCCCGCCAGCCCAGCGCGGCGGCGGAGCCTGCTCCCAAGCCACGATTCTCCCCACGTGCTCTCGCCGGAATTCAGGCAGCGAAAGAGGGGCTCCTCCCACGTGGGCCCATCAATCTCCGACTACTGACTAAGTGACCCGCCCCTCCTGAAAAAAAAGAGAAGAAAAGCGCGAGCGCGCGCAGGGCGGTGGGGAGGGAGCGCGGTGCGAGCGCGAGCCCCCTGCCTGGCACGCGCGCACCCGCCTGCCTGTGATTAGCGGACGTGGCTCCTGATGCCCAGGAGTTTCCCGGGCGCCGAGACAGTTCCCACGTCCTCCGCCCCGAATGGGGGAGAAGAGCGGCCCCGCAAGGTGAAGGAGAGTTTCCGCGGGGACCCGGGAGAGCGGGCGGGGGACCACACAACTTTGCCAGAGGCGAGCCAGCCACCCCCGTCCGCGCTTACTCACCTTCTGCACTTGGTCATGGTTGAGCTCCGTAAAGAAGTAAGCGAGCAGATGCGAGGCGATCATTTTGCCACGGCCCGACGGCGCCGAGATGGGAAACCGAGACTGGAGCGCTTGTGGGGAAGGAGGGCGGTGCGGTCAGACAGCTTCGGTGGGACCCGGAGCGGTGAATCCGGGCGGCCCGCAAAGAAGGCTAACAGCGATGGCCCGCCGGCGGAAGGGTCTCCGGTCTCTAAGATCAGGTTTGGGAAGTCACTGCTAGGAGGCTCCCAAAAAATCACTCCCGGCGACGTGTCGGGTTGCCCCGCTGTCAAGGCGCTAACTTCAGCCACAGGATCCCTAGGGCTCAACTTGGGAAGAATCTCAACCCGGTTCCACGGGGGGTGATCGGAACTCTCCCGCTCACGCGCGCGCTGCTCTCGCCCGCAGATCTTCTGGGCTTGGTGACTCGGCGTTGCTAGCGGCGGCCCGGGAGTCCAGCGCTAGAGTTTCGTGCAACAATGTGGCTTATTGAGGGGCTGCCGGCTCCCGGGCCGCCCAGTCAATGACGCGTACACGCCCATTGGCTGCGCGGGGAGGGTGTGTGCGCCCC